GTTTCTACGACACTCTACAGTCGCACATCAGAGGCCTTAGAGCGTTAGGGGTGGGCGAAGAGGCGTATGGAGCTATGCTCTACACAGTTCTTTTGCGAGTGCTACCGAGAGATATCACTCTCGATTTCAACCGGAAGATGTCGGCGGAAGAGACCGGGAATGCCAACGCCGCAAGGGCATCAATGACAGACGCCAGTTTGGAATCCGCCCCTCAGCAAGTACACCTGAGGGCTCTGCGGTTTATCCTCGACTTTCTACGCATCGAGGTGGAGAGCCGCGAAAGGACATCAAAACACCAGCTGGATGACGCCGTCGGTAAGCCCAGACCTTCTTCTCTGACGCATGGCTCTGTGAAGAGGTCAACGATCAACGCTCAGACTCGCAGTTCCACCGTGGCGGCATTGCACGGCAGTGTGGACGTCTTAGAGTGCTTCCTTTGCAAGTCAAAAGCGCACGGAACACCGGAATGTAACGCAAGAATCGGGCTAGCGGAGAAGAAGCGTAGGTTGCAAGCAGACCAGGCGACCGTGCTAATAGCAACGCTGCAGGATGTAGAAGCCACATCGGTTCTCCGACATTTCTGGGAGCTAGAAAGCGTGGGAGTTACCGACCCGCCAGTAGAGGATCCCTCGGACAGCGCCGTGAGACGAGAGTTCGAAGCCAACATTACGAAGACCGCCGGTAGATACGAAGTGGGCCTTCCATGGAAATCGGACGTAAGGCTGGCAGACAACATGGAGGTGGCAAGAAGGAGGTTGGAGAATCTACGTAAGAAGTTGACCAAAAATCCCGATCTCCTACAGAAGTATGACGAAGCGATTCGGCAATACCAAGTCAACGACATGGCGGAGAGGGTCGATGAAGAAACACAGAACGAAGGTGCAGCAGGGGTGTATTACATGCCCCACCAGGCTGTTGTCCGCGAGAACAGCAGCACCACCAAACTTAGGATTGTGTTTGACGCTTCCTCTCACGGCGCAAACTGTAAATCCCTGAACGAAAACTTGGAGAGTGGACCGAACATGAATCCAGATCTCGTCGCCCTACTTCTGAGGTTTAGGACGCACCGAGTAGCGTTAGTGGCGGATGTGGAGAAGGCTTTCCTGCAGATCGGAGTCAAGGCTGAGGATCGTGACGCACTGCGGTTCCTCTGGTACAAGGAACCGCCGATCCAAAATCAACCGGTACCAGAGGTAGAGACCTGGCGAATGACGAGGGTGACTTTCGGTGCAACGTCGAGCTCGTTCCTTTTGGCGGCTACCCTGCGGCACCATTTCGCGGCGATGGAGAACACATACCCAACAACGGCCGAAAAATTAAGCAAGTCCGTATATGTTGATGACCTGTTGACCGGAGCGAGCAACGAAGACGAGGCTAAGAAGTTGTACGCCGAGGCGAACGAGGTGTTTAGGCAGGCCGGTATGAGACTCCACAAGTGGGGTTCAAATAGCGCGTCACTAGCGGAGGTGTTCGAGGAGGACGGCGCAGGCCAAAAACCACTCGGACAAGTCGCGAACGTGCTCAAGGTGCTCGGAGTAACTTGGGAACCCAAAGAGGACAATCTCATGTTTTCGCCGGAGCACGTGATGGAGACTGCTCGCCACCAAGAAAATACGAAGCGCTTCGTGCTGCAAACGACAGCTCGCCTTTACGACCCTCTGGGATTCTTGGCACCCATCGTCGTGAGAGCCAAGATCTTGTTCCAGGAAATCTGGAAACTAAACCTGGACTGGGACGATGTGCTACCAGATCACCTGCAAGACGAGTGGACCGGGAGGTGCAGCGAACTTGTCGAGCTAGAAAGGGTCAAGATCCCAAGGTTTTGCGACGACGGATTGCAAGGCAAGGTGACCCACCGATCATTGCATATCTTCGCCGACGCCAGCACCGCTGCCTACGGAGCCATGGTCTACCTTCGCACTATCGACGACACAGGAGCGACGACGACGACGTTATTGCTCGCAAAAGGCCGAGTGGCACCCCTCAAGACTGTCACACTGGCGAGATTGGAACTGATGGCCAGCTTGATCGCCTCAAGGTTGTCCAAATACGTTCAAACCTGCTTTGAGCTTGAGGTGAAGGACGTTCACTTCTGGACGGATTCAATGATCACGCTTTACTGGATCAGGGGAGAGGCCTCCCGATGGAAGCTGTTCGTCAAGAATCGAGTGCAAGAGATCCAGAGCAATTGTGAAGGCGCGACGTGGCACCACTGCCCGGGAAAAGAAAATCCCGCTGACCTTATGACACGAGGTCTGACCGCATTCCAGTTGGTCTCCAGTTCACTGTGGTGGTCGGGGCCGAGTTGGTGTCCACTGCCAGCGACAGAATGGCCCAAGGAAAGGTGCGGAGAACTCCCTCGAGACGCCCTCGAGAAGAGAGGATCGAGAGCAGAAGCGTTTGAAGTCACAGTAACGCCCATTCCAGAGTTGATCGATATCTCGCGATTCAGCTCTGCTTCAAGGATCAACAGAACAACGACTTGGATTTTTCGATTTCTCCACAACGTCAGGTCAACTGAAAGACGAACGGGACCACTGACAGCCGAGGAGATCGAGGCAGCGCGAACTCACTGGATAAAGGAGGTGCAGCGCTCGGCGTTCGCTACCGAGCTTCGCTGCGCGACCAACTCTACGAAGACCCCGCCTGGTTCACTCCTTCAAGACTTCGCCACTTTCATCGATCAGCAAGGTGTACTTCGTATTCGAAGTCGCCTCCAGTCTGTCAACATGACGTTTGACGAACAAAACCCGATCGTCCTGCCCAAGCAGCATCGATATTCAACTTTGCTGGCAATCGACGCGCACCGACAGCTGCTGCACGCGGGAGTCAGAGATACTCTCGTGCAGCTCCGTAACCAGTATTGGATTCTGCGGGGCCGAGAGCTGGTGAAGAAAGTAGTGCGTGCCTGCGGGACCTGTCAGCGCTTTAGCGCGACCCCCGCGAGTGCCCCCACGGGACCCCTGCCGGATGCCCGGACAACACGAGCGGACCCTTTCGAGGTAGTCGGCACGGACTTTGCGGGCCCCCTCTACGTCAAGGGCAAGGACCTCACATGCAAGTCCTACGTGGTGCTGTTCACGTGTGCAGTCACGCGGGCTGTGCACCTGGAGTTGGTTCCAGACCTGTGACCCGGAGCTTTCTCTTTGCCTTCCGTCGCTTTGTGTCGCGCCGAGGGCTGTGCCGCGTAATTTATTCCGACAATGCGTTGACCTTCAAACGAGCGTCGAAGGAACTCACGGAACTGTGGAAGACGTTGCGCCACCCAGACGTAGTCAACCACTTTGCGAACGCGGGTATCCAGTGGAGGTTTATTGTTGAGAGAGCCCCATGGTGGGGAGGATTTTACGAGAGGCTTGTGCGCTCGGTAAAGGTGTCTTTAAGAAAGGTTATCGGAAGGAACTGTCTGGATACAGAGGAATTGACCACCGTTCTGATTGTGGTAGAGGCCGTGTTGAATTCGCGGCCATTAACGTTTGTGCACGACGCGGTCGGAGAGGGGACCCCGCTGACGCCGGCCAGTTTCCTAGTTGGAAGGCGGCTGACGACACTTCCGCCGACGGGTGGGGACACGCTCGCTTCCACACCGAAGGAGCTTCGCTTGCTCTGGCGGCAGCGAAAAGAACTGCTTAATCGATTTTGGGGAAGATGGAGGGAAGAGTATCTTCGAGAACTCAGGTCAGCGTACGCCACTCAGAATAGGCAGTCTACGCCCATCAGAGAGGGTCAAATTGTTTTGTTAAAAGAGCCGCTTCCACGCCTGCTATGGAAGCTCGGGCGAGTAGAAAGAGTGTTCCCCGGCCGAGATTCTCGGATCCGGTCGTGTGAGATCCGAGTGCATCGCGGCACCATATTGCGAAGGCCAGTGCAGCTTGTGTATCCGTTGGAGTTAATGGAAGTTTAGAATGGACTTCCATCCATTCGGTGGGGAGTGTGTTGGAGCGTTTAAGTGTCTCTTAATAAGCCATATCACTGGCACGAGGACATCGAAGACGAGGAGAAAATCGGCCAGAGACGTCTTAAAAGGGTGCGCGTGGCAAGGAGCTGGCGGCCGGGGGAGCGCGTGGCCTGGGCGCGAGACGAGGCTCGTGTTTGGAACGGTTGGGAACGACACGTCAGATCGCATCGCTTGCAGCTTGTAGATAATGTAAATAAAAGTTTGCTTGAATGTAACCATCGACGACTGCCAGAGGTTCCTACATAAATAGTGACGAAATCAATTCTATCAACGTTACAATCTCAGTCTCAAAACGGCATGGTAAGCATTTGGCAAGTTTAAAATGCGAACTGTAGAGTTTCATAAACTTGCAGGGTGTATAGAAAGCTAAGTGCTGCATGACAAGCGGCATTTTTTTCTTTGGCACTCATTCAATGTTTGCGTTGAGTAACTAGTTTCTTTGATCCTGCAGGACACATTGCAAATTAATGAGTACAATGCAATCTATAGAAGGAGCTAATTTGATGTACAGGCATAGTGAAATGTTTTCTTGTAAAATTAATTTTGTAATGAGACTGTTAATAAATTTACGACGCAAACAACGCCTTGATCTAGACTTTGTCTAAAATCGAAGCGTTCTGGCGACTTAGCCACATTACGAGATCCCTCCGCAGTTGGCAGTGATATTGGAACGACCCATACCTATAAGGGGAATACAGACAAGGACGTCTTTAATGCTTTGGACGCTAAACGAGTTTTCTAGTTTTCTCAGCACTGTCGGGCAGCCAAGTCCACTTTTTGCGTTAAAATGAAAAATGTGAAAAAAGTTACTAGTCATTGAATTACAACTGTTCCTGACTCGCTCTGGATTGCTAATTTATTGCCTGTTGATGTATTTTGCGCAATATTGTTGCACGCATGTTCATCAAAACAATGATCTTCAGTATCACGGATTTTTTGCTGCCGAATATTACTTCATCTGCCCAGATACGCATATCTTTTAGAGAAGGTTGACCAGGTAGACACAAAAGGTTCAACTTAATTTTAAAAAGCTGTTACTCACCTGCTTTAGATGCCTGGAAGCTATCCCTTGGTTTTAAATTCTGGAAAATGGCTGAAAGCGTGGTCCGCGGCAGAACGTCGTTGTTTAAGTTGATCCTCTCCAGCGCGTATGTGAACGCCCGTTCGTGGTCGTTGCTTGTAGCATCAAAGAGACCTCCTGGGATTAATAAAAAATCAACAAATTAAAAAAAAGAAATAAAAAAAAACTTGAGGTTGCAAAAGATTCAGTCCATCCGCCGAAGTCACGAGCTCATTCGAAATGTTTCAAGTTCGGTCACCAGATTCTATTACCTTGAACGTGATTTTTACATACATCTAATCCATCTATTTCTTCTAAGCACTTGTATTTTATTTTCAGATTTATTGGCATCACCCTCTTGTTGTTTTTTTTTTTTTCACAAAATCGATCAATCTTTTTTGAATTTGCAAATTCATAACTCCTTCGAACAGTTCTTTTTTTATTTATCTGGAGAAACGGATACCTATAGATGATTATAAACATACCTATATATCTATTTCTTTTGATATTTTTGTATTTATGACTTAAACTCGTTTTGAAGTATATTATGACAAACCAGCTCCTTCTCAACGTTTTTTTTCCTATTTCAATTTATTTTCACCTCATGAAGATTACACTTAAGTTGTCCCGACTTCAATTAATATTCAGTTGGACTCTTAACATCTTTATCAAAATAGAGAATATACATCATGTTGACAAACTGTATATCCAGAAGCGCACTCGTAAATGTCTCTCTAGCTGTGAAACCAGATAAGTGAAAATATGGTCAAGGCAAACCGGAACACGCGAGCATAACTTCAGACTTTTTCCGATTTGTCTCAAACCTATTTACATTCTAAAAGCCATTCTTTAGGTCCGGGCATAACGAAAAAGACACTCATCTGCTTTGCTTTCAGCAGCCGTCACAGACCGTGGTGTGGGGAATGACCTGGTCGTTGCACGAATGGCCTTAAGAAGGAATGTGTAAATGAGATACGGAAGAGCGCCTCTTATCAGGAACCATTCAACCAGGTTGGGGTCAGAATTTTCCTTCCCGTTTAACGTTTCCCCCGGCACAATTTCCAGTTTAGCAATGGCTTTTAGCGAGAACAATAATAATAATATTAATCATAAAGTAATCTTTATTGTTATAATTAATGATTAGAAGCAACACGTTTCGTATTCTTTCTGCGAGAGATAGCTATTCGGAATATCTTTCCAGCGGCATAATGTGCCAGTTATGCGTAGTGAAACTATCTTTCCTAGGCTAAGGTTTTCTTAGTGACTTGTTCTTCTTGCACAAATATAATATTGTAATCGTTAAACATCGTGAAATGACATCCTCGTTGTACCACTGAATCTTAAATTTTTCTTTTTCTTTTAAAGACTGATAATTTTTTTAAAGCAAGGTATACTATTATATATTAAAACGATGGCAGTGGTAAGTGTCGCAATACAAGTTTCAAAAACGTGTTACGTTTTATGCAGTGACCGCAAACATAAATAAATTAAACAAAGCAGAAATACACAGTGTATAAAAATCAATGCAAATAACTAGAGCAATATTAGTGCTAGAGCTTCGACATGGGAAACAGGGACCAGTGAAGGTCTAAAAGGGAGTATTTAATACACGTCTGGCGGATACGCCTGCCCAGTAAAAAGAACAGTGCGCCACGCTGGTGGTGGCGCGAGCTTGCGGTCAATCGTCTTCTTTTGCGACAGTGCTAACACTCGGCCATCCTAAAATTCAAATTTCCTCATATTATATTTCTTTAATGTCAACAATGAAATGTGCTGAGTAATTCCAAATTGTCGACGGGAGCTGTCGACGTGTAGAAACGTTGCGTCCGCTTGTGCCAAGGTATCTCCTCAATGCGGTAGGTGTCATTAGAAAGTCGCATGATTTTCCGCTGGAAGTGTGACTTCTTTTCCTTTTTCCCGAGCCTCCGCTGCTCACGGAAAGTTTGTTGTCATAGCCGCCGTCGTTCATTTGGTGCTGATGATTCGTATTGTGGTGAGGTCGTTTCCTTGGTTGTCTTCCTGCCGACGCGTCTTCGCTGTGTACCCGGTCGCGGCTGCCCTTGCCTCGATTCTGCTTATTCGGTGGTGCTTGCCAATTTCCCTTTGACTGGCTGTTGAGGCTCGTGAGGGCCGTCGTTCGAAATGATAAAGGGGTACCTGGATTTTCTCTCTTCTTCGTGTGTCATTGGTGACCAAAATGCCTTGGCCTCCGCAGTTGTAGCAGTAGCGTTCCTTAATTGGCCGCGTCTTCAAAGGCGCTCGCACGATAGGACCGTCCTCCTTTGTAGGTTGGTATCTCATCCACAGATCAAGGCAAAGCTGAGATCCTGTTCGTTCATCTTCAGTTTTGACCGGTTCCAGGAGATCCGTAGTCCTTCGCCCGATGGTGGTTTCAGACATTTCTGAACACCAGGAGCTCCTGGATGTTACATCGCCTTTCAAAATATTGACGTTTGAACTGGATATGTTCAAAATAGGCAAAACCGTATCGCCATTTTCTGTGACGTTGATTACACAAGCAGGCAAACAGTGTTCCTTGCCTTCTTGCATCCGCAACCGCGTGTCAACAAACACGTGTCCTGCCGCAGGCTCCTTAGTCGTCAGATGAACGATCTCCACGTAGTTCGCTGGAATCACGACAGACTCCTTGGCCCATAACACCAGGGAGCGTGGTGGAAGATCAGGGACTTGAATGTGTTGGAGTCGTTCATCATCATCAGTAGTACTCCCTTGTTCCTCAAAAATTCGAAGGGTGTTCCTTCTTTGCACGATAATAACATGCGGTTGCTCCGTAAACGGTTGTCCAACAAGAAGAGGAATCGCTTGTGCTTCAGTTCGAACAACGTAAATTGGAACGCGGGCTGTCGCCTCGTCTCCGGTGACGCTTGCTTACGTGATTCCGCACGGTAGAACCTGACCAAAACGTAGCCTCCAATCTTACATCCTCGGGACGGCTGGCTATAGTTGATGCCCAGTTTATCGGCATCCACCTTGCGCAGCGTAACGCACTGGCTTCCATGGTCAATATAAGCTCAGACAAGCTTTCCCTCTATGAGAGCGTCTTGAAAATACTTTTCGTTTTGCGCATTTACTCGTTCTTTGTTTTCGATGTCATGATTTTAAACGGACACACTTCCTCTGCCGCTTGATCTGCAGTCAGCTGTTCTATGTCCCGTTCGGTGACATTTGTTACAGTGCTCTTTCTTCTTTGGTTTACGGCAGTTCACAGACATATGTCCGTATTCGACACAATTGAAACATCACGGTTCACCATTATAGTTGTATGGCGATTTTCGTTTTGTGACTCTGTGGGCATTTCGGTCGTTGGGCGAACCGTTCTTTCTCGCCCTTGAGCCAGTTGCCACATCGGATCGGTGGAACGCTTCCCCAGCGGCGGTGACTCGGTCGTCCGAACGTTTGAGGTGCTCCAGCAAATCCTCTGGAGTAGAAAACTTGACAACGCTTAGGCTCTGAAAGAGAGCTTCATCACTGGTGCCTGTAATGGCATAGTCCACGATCTGATCTTCCGAAAGTTGACAAAGACGTGCCAAGCTGAGTTACTCATAAAAATACTGTTCAACGGTTTTGTTCGGCAGTTTTCGCCTCGCGTCCAATTCCTGGTGTCGATGTTGTAGGTTTACGTTCGGTGGAAAAGCCTTTTTCAGCTCCAGCTTTCATTCAAGCCACGAACGCTGGACACTGATGAGGCCGTCGTACCACGTTTCGGCTATTCCTTCTAGCTTTGTTAGCGCAAAACACGCCGTCTCTATTTCACTCCACGAGTATATCGCCGATAGTTTGTCAAATCTCCGTATCCAATGTTCAACTGTCTGCACCGGATTCGTGACGGTGTTGAACACTGGTACCAGCTTACCGGATCCTGCAGGTAGTCTTGGGTCGTGCCTGCGCTGGGTTGCGGGACGAAGCAGGTCAGCCATGCCCGCGACCACTCCTCGCACGGCAGCTTGCACAGCCTCCTGTACAAGAGTCTGAAGCCCAGATAGGTCACCTGTCGGTCCATACAGCCCAGTCTGAATTGTTGGTGAAGCGCTTGCTGCGCCTGCCAGCGGTATTCGTTGCCCCATGGTGTCGGTGTCGAAGCGTTCCGAATCTTGACCTGCCACGCCATCTTGGCTCGTGGTTGCGTCGCCGCTACCGCCAAGGCTCGTGCTCCCTGTTCCAGTCGCAACGGTCACTGGAAGTCGGGGAGGACCCACCGCCGCAGTCTGCCGTATTCGGTTCCGCTCGCTCAGACGCCGCCCTTCCTCGTCCATGTCGAAGTGCTGGTCGGTGCCGCTGCGGTGACGATTCGTGGCCACAGAAGTCGACTTGCGCTCGGTCGTGGTCACTGGGTCAGGCTTGGTTCATCCTATTTCTGATATGTTAGAGGCTCGACAAGGGAAAGGGGGACCAGTGAAGATTTAAAAGAGAGCGTTTAATACACGTCTGGTGGGTACGCCTGCCCAGCAAAAAGAGTGCGCCACGCGGGTGGTGGCGCGAGCTTGGGGTCAGTCTTCTTCTTTTGCGACTGCACTAAGATTAGTTATAATTTTTATAAAGCGTACATAGAGCGCGCTTTAAGATATTGACTTGTGCAATCCCACGATCTGTGCAGGAATTTTAATGGATTGTTTCGAGGGGCAAACGCTCTTTATTCTAAATGAAATATACACATGTATTTGTAGTCAAAATTTAATATTATAACAAGTTGAAGTATTAATTCTCCAAAAAGAACGCTCCCCTAATTCGTGTGCTTTGTGTTACTGACATATTTGTTTATATAATTTTAAGCTTAGGATTGTGCAGAAAATTATTTTTTTGTTTTTCTTAGTGCAGCATTGAGGAATGCAGAAGTTAATTACTCCAGTGATACTCAACCGTTTATGTTAGACGTTATAGAATAAATGAATTATTGCCAAAGTGATATCATTTTTTTAGTTATAAGGATCCTCGACTATTTGAGTGCTCAACATTAATGAAATACTAATTAATTGTTTTCAGGCTCAGGCGTAGCTTTCAGGTGTGAAGGACAGTGAAAGAGTTTATTGATAAGCAAATATGTAACGCAAAAAAGCAGGCGCTAGTGTAAATTTACAGAATATGTGAATTAATTTGAATTCTTAGCGAATATAAAACTT